CCCCAGGCGGTGTGTTCCTCAAACCTCCCCAAACCTGGAAGTTCAAAGAAAGTGGAAGTTCCAGAAATTAGAACTCTGGTGACAACGTCAGAAGGAGACCTACAGGATTCAGAGGAGGGGAAAATCTCAAGAGATGGGCAAAGAGAAAACCTTCCGTCCTTGGAGAGTGAAAAAGCCTTCCATGTCAACACACCTCCTGTAGAGCAGAGAACAGATTTTCCAAGCAGCCTTTTACCAGCAATAACCAACGCCGGAGATCCCAAACGATCCGGTTCGAATACGGGACCTCCACTCAGAAGCCAGAGCAAATCCTCGTTGTCACCCAACTTCCAGACCGATCTAACAGCTCCGGGCAAAACAAGAAGTGGTCTTTATGATCAAGGTTTACGTAGCTTTCCCAGTTTGGAGGACCATGATTTTGAATTAAAGGCTGGAAATATATCTTTATTAAGCCCTTCAGGAGAAAGCAAGGTTCCGTTATTAGACCAAGATGGTCGGATTCCTGACATGCTTTTATTTTCAGCGGGAGCAAGGGTGCCCGTGAATTCACAGGAAGGAGAGCCACAACACAGCCCTCATTGGGGCACGGAAATTAAAGATGGACCTCTTCCAGAAACAGGAAGTCCTGTGTTATTTCAGCACAGTGACCCACAATTCTGCCTTCAGTCCAGCACAGGTAATCCTGGTGGATTAGATTTCCGTGGTGAACATGTGACTACCGACAATGACCGCTCCCGAGGAGATGACTTCCCCTCTTTGCCTGCACCCTTACTGCATATACCAGAGCTCCTTCGAGACACCATTCAGAGCAAGGCTGAAAATAGAGATCTTGGCATGGGAAGACCTCAAGAAGATCCACTCTGAGCAGAAAAGAGATCCTTGCTGCCAGGAAGTCCTCCATAATATTAATTGAATGACATTAATGAGTGTCCTCCACCGCATATACAGTACCGTGTTTCCCCGACAATAAGACAGGGTCTTCTATTCATTTTTGCTCCAGAAAACACAGTAGGGCTTATTTTCAGGGGATGTTTTATTTTTTTTTCATGTACAACAATCGACATTGATTCAAAGACAGTCATGTCCTCTTCTTCTGGTTGCTGTCCAAGGGTGGAAGGCGGGGTTTCACTATTTTTGACGAGCATCCTGAAAAATCCTACTAGGGCTTATTTTCAGGTTAAGTCTTATTTTTGGGGAAATAGGATATAAGAATGCATGCTGTGTTCTAAGATACAAGACAAGGTTCTCCTTGTTCCTAAGGCGGATTGGATGTCAGCATGTCTACCTTGGCTTTATATGTTGCAGCTCTAAACAATTATATTTTCATTATCATCATGAGCTGGAAGGGACCCTATGGATCATGGAGTCAAGCCCTAGTCAAGGAGGCCCAAACTCTGGCTCTGCAGCCAGAAACCTAAACCATGAAACTATCTAGTCATTTGTCACATCCAAACTAGTTTCCCATTTTTTTTCAGCCAACAGATTTACCTCTCTCTCATCCACTTTACTTTTCGTCCTTCCTGCACTTTCTTTTCGTGTTTATTTTGCCCTGAATGATCCAATGTGGCCGTTTTTACTTCATCGTTCTGTGACTGAAATATTCCCAGCTTTCTGCATTTTTAGGTATTTTATGGTTCCTTGATCTGTATTCATGCACTGCAGTACTTCTTCGCTAATCATCCTACGGATCCAGAAAATGTTGAACGTCCTGCAATAAAGTCTTTCCATCTTGGCAGCAAACACACCTTAGCAAATGTGTCTTAGGAGTTCATGCCGAGAGAAGGATCTTTCTTTAAAAAGAGATTTTATTTGGCATTGGAAATGCATGCAAAATCAGGGCAGGAGTCAGGAAACATAAAAATAAAGTTTCTAGTACAGAACCCTAGCTGTTCTTTTTACTGGGTGACGTAATCCATTCAGAACTCTGGAATTTTAGAAGACCATTGAAGGATGTAAAACCTGGTTCTCTCACAGTACGCGCTGCTTTCCCTCCATTTCTCTCACCCCACCACCTTCTTGTTATAATGAAGCCTAAACCCATTAACAAACTGGATGGAACAACCTACAGTATTTACTGCACCTCAATTGCCTCTCATTCTTGCTTGGGAAGAAAAATAAATTTCTACAAATAGTACTCAGTGAAAAGGAAATTACTGTCTCTAACCCCGAGGGGAGTCAAAAACCTCAATTTCCTCCTCCTTTCAAATAACACATTGCCAGATGGGGGAAAGGATCAATTAAATTTCTTTTGGCTGAGATTCAGTTCATAGGCATTGGTAGCAACAACAACAACAAAAAACCAGCATCCCATTGTGGATGAAATAGATCGAGGCTATAATGTTGTTATAGTGGGACATGGTGGCGCTGCCGGTTAAACCGCAGAAGCCTCTGGGCTGCAAGGTCAGAAGACCAGCCGTCGTAAGATCGAATCCACACAATGGGGTGAGCTCCCGTCACTTGTCCCAGCTCCTGCCAACCTAGCATGTAAAAATGCAAATCAGTAAATAGGTACCACCTTGGTGGGAAGGTCACGGCGTTCTGTGTCTAGTCACGCTGGCCACGTGACCATGGAAACTGTCTATGGACAAATGCTGGCTCTATGGCTTGGAAACGGGGATGAGCTCCGAGCCCTAGAGTCAGACACGACTGCATGAAATGTCAAGGGGAACCTTTACCTTTATTATAAAACTGTTATAGTTAACAACAGTCTTCTTATTTCTCCTCCATCTAATGGAGATACAGTTGAGGGTGGATTCCCTGCACCTTCAGAGAGGCGTGGGATAAAATTCTGCAGCATTTATTCATGCCCTTGTAACCTTGCCTTGTGAAAATACTGAGTTGTATCTTAAAATAAGTTCATGAAGCTGATTAACATAAGGTCAGCTTAGAGATTCCTCTGGCCCAGATCTAAAATATCATGGGTCTCCCAAGTTTTCCCAGTCATTCTATCCAGGAAAACTAACTTCAAGGGATGTGAAGGTTAAACAGGAGACTTTGAACATCAGAGCACCTGGAGGGAGCCGAATGTGGAACCGTGAACCTCCAAAGCATGGGACCAACCCCTTAGCTGTGACTCCTTTCCCCATCTTGTCGTGATTTCTGTCATTCTTCTTTCACACACCACCCTTCCTTCATGTGCAGGTGGGCAACGGACAGTCCCTCAATGTTTCTCCAGCTCTTTCGTGAGCAGTGCTGAATGTCATCACTACCACAAAATGGTAAAATGCCTGAAGTTTAGTTAGTGCTCATCAGAGCTTTTAAATGAAATATATTGCTGGGGGAGGGGTTGAGCGTGCTCCCACACATTTTCCATTGACCCTGCCCACCCCTATTTTTTTTCTAAAATTGAACTTGCCTGTTGGAATGGAGATAGTCCCCTACTATTGCTCTCTGGCATTTTCCTGCCCGATGGAGCCACCACAGGTATCAATGAATTTCAGCAGTTACCACAGAAGTCCTAAAAACTGTGGTGGCAGCAAAGGGCTTTTTGGGGGTTCTGATACAGACCCCCTCCAAAAAAAGTTGCCCACTTCTGCTTCAACATTTCAAAAGAGAGAGGGCTACATGGGAGGTCTTCAGTTTTCATGGAAAGTTACACCCAAGTAGACATCCTCCTCTTTTACTTGATAACACCCCTTTGCACTGTTGACCGAAAGAGTCTATATTTGTTTATTTTTATTTAAAATACCTGTAGATCAATTTTCAGTATGGGTTTCTCACTGGATGGGGAAAAATGTGGAGGGGTGTTGGAACCAAACCAAAACACATTTGATCTTAGAGGATGCATTGTGTCTTCTGGGAGAACTTTGCTCCTTGATGTGGTCAAGATCAAGACCAGGTGACTGGACGGGTCAAAACGAAGGCCTGCAATTAGGCCTAGAGCCTCAGTCCTAAACACTCCAGATGTTTCAAAGCTGATGAAGCAAGATTGTACCACTTTAAAGATGTTAAAATCAGCCCTGGGGCTAATTTTTAGAACCTTGAAATTCTGACCCAAGTGAATCACCGGGCGGGGTGAAAGAAGAGGTACCTTGGGATAACCAGTGACCATTGATTGGGTAAAGTCTAAGGATGGTCTCAGAATAATGCCAAAGAGCACACTGGGGCAGTAAAATGATGCTTGCCGCTGGGAATAAGCTAAAATAGCCCATCTTTTAGACTCAAATGCCCCTTTTCCCTTTGATGGTCTTCCCAAAGAGACCATCGTGGGAAATCATGGGTTTCTCAGCATCTTTGGGCTCGCTAGATCATTTTAAACTTCAATTCCCAGAAGCCCCAGCCAGCATAACTGGCATAATTTTGGGAGTTGCAGTCCAAACTGTGGGAGGACCCAGAAGGTAAGGAGAAACTATGCTGTCTAGGGCAGTGGTTCTCAACTCTGGGCCCCCAGATGTTCTAGCTGGTCAGGATTTCTGGGAGCTGCAGTCCAAGAACATCTGGGGACCCCTGGGGGAGAACCAATGGTTTAGGGCCCCCTTCAAAGGATTCTTCTTATAGTATATCATACGGCCATCAAGCCTAGAGGTCGCTAACACAGCCTGCCCCACACCGGTGCTCCCAGATGTGCTGGCCTTCAAACCGCATCCTGCTTTCTGGGGACAGTGAGAGCTGTAATCCTGTACATCAGGATCACACAAAATCCTGGAAGATTTCTCAGCCATGAAGGATAATAGCAAAGTCCACCTCTCAGCCGCTGCCGGAGTATCAGCAAAAAGGAAATAAAGAACACTCCAGGAAAACAGTCTCTCCACCTACATTGACCTGCCTTATCTAAATTGTATTTTTTTCCCTCAAGGCTATAAACATGACTACTTTCTTATCTTTCTGATAAGATTTATATTCTAAGAAAACTGACAGCCTCTTCTTTCTGTCCATGCTGACTCCAGGATTCTGGGAGTTGTAGTCCAAAAAATTAACTCTGGCTACCATTATCTCCAGTGTTAAGAGATGGCCACTGGTCTACCACATGTATTGAATATTTCACAGGTCACACCAAAAAAGATGAGGGCAGAAGCCACTGTGGGAAACAATTCTGTAGCCATTTTTTAAAAGTCAGAACATTACAACCAATCTAACAATGCTGTTTAGAAGACTATCGTAGTATCTGAGCCTTGGAAGAATGACAGGTGGGTAAACAGATTATAAATTGGCGATCAGAGAACTACGGGGTGGAGACCTATATTAAGAAACACCCTCCTTTCACTTACACCCAAAAGACCTTTTACTAAGCAAAGTTTTGCTCTTTGGTAGGGATAGGAAAGAAAAAATTATCTGGGCCACGTTGGTAAACAAAGCAGCCAAATATTGTATTTCCATAGACGAAATGCAAATGGGAACAGTTATCCTTGGGACTCCATGCTTTTCTAAATTTTGCAGTGCTGGTGCCGGCTCAGAAATTGTGTTGTGTATGTACATCTTGACCTTCACACAGTTGGGGTTTTTTAAAGCATTTCTGAGCCACCACTTTAGAGTCCAGCTAAAACTGGTTTTAGTTGCTTCTAGCCCTTAGAAAATAAGATGGAGACATCCTCGGGAATGTCTTTTTCTGATAAGGCAGCTCACTGAACTAATTAGAAGAAATACCTTCACGTCATGTATGAAGCTCACATAGTGCAGATCCCTTAATGCATAGTTTTTTTAAAAAAACTCTCAAGAAATAAGAAAAGAGAAGAGTGAGTTTTTGGCTTTACATCGATTTTAGGATTGAATATCATGCCAGCTAAGGGTATAAGACAGCTGGCCATTCTTCGTTGTGGGTCTCCTGCTCTTCTGGGGGCCCCCAAATGCATTTGTGGTTTGTGTGATTTCTGAGCTCAAAATAAAAACACTTTTTCGCTTCAAGAAATCTCTGTTGTTGTCTTTTCCCTCTGCTCCGTTTTCTGAGAACCGTTTAGCGCGACGGGAGAAGTAAGTTTGTTGTCTGACTTTGGCACCCACCCAAGACAGCGTCATCCAGTGGTGAGGAACGAGGTTTGATGGCAGAGGTGACGGTGCATGTAGAGGGCGTGTCAAGATATAGTCAAGATATAGCAAGATGGGGCTTTTCTGGATAATCCGGACATGTGGGAGTACATAATTGATCAGGAACACCGGGCCTGAAGGTGGGTGATCTGGAACATGGCAGAACATGAAGTCAAGAACATTGGCCTGTTTAGAATCCTAGAAAACTACACATCCCATCCTTCCTTTGGACTCCGAGAGGACTTGCTACGGCCGCTAGAAGTATGTGGTCTTGTTGGTCCCAATCGTCTGAACATCTTCTTTCTTTTCTACGGGTTGTTTCTCAAAGCTCCCGTTGTTTGGTTTGTCGGACCTAAAGAAAAGGAATCGGTATTAAAGAGGGCGAAACCAGGAGCACTTTTCTCACCCGGGATGCACACTTGGTGTGGGCAGAAATCATCTAAGAGCGCTCATAAAAGAAAACATTTCTAAACTTTAAAAGAACCTTTTCCTCGTCTGCTTTTTGGCTTCCTCCCAGACCCTCAAATAAACAACAAATAGAAGGCAATGTGGGCCATGGGGCTGGTCAAAAAGATATGAATAGTCAGGGAATCAAGTGGGACTGCAGTATCTACGGGAATCAGTTTTAAGCAGAAAAATAGGGAAATATCAAACACTCTACACGGCATGGCCACTGGCCCCTCTCGTGGCCGGTTTTGATAAATACACCCTGCAAATACAGTATGTGTAAATACCAGTATGTATTTTTGAGATTCATTTATCCAGTCAGTGGATAAATGAACCAGTGGATACCGATCCCGTGGAGAAGGGGGCTCTATTGTAATAGTAAGAGAACCTATGAATGAATATAAGGAGATCTGCAAGCGGGATCTGAAGGCCTTAGGAATGGACCTCAATAGATGGGAAACCCTGACATCTGAGCATTCGGCCTGGAGGCAGGCGGTGCATCATGGCCTCTCCCAATTTGAAGAGACCCTTGTCCAGCAGGCCGAGGCAAAGAGGCAGACCCAAAACCAGCTAAATCAGGGAGCTAGACAGGGGACAGACTGTATTTGTCTTCAGTGTGGAAGGGATGGTCACTCTCAAATCGGCCTCCTCAGCCATGCTGGATGCTGTTCCAAGTCCTCCATAGAGAGCACGTTCCCATAGTCTCTGTCTGTTTGGACATGAATTGCATCAACCTGAGAATCTGGCCAATTAGTTTCCTTTTGTTTTGGAACGGGTTCATTGGGAAATAGTGCAGATTTGTTTGCATGTCTGAAGCTAACACTGAAAAAAATGGACATGTGTGCATGAGCAATGTTTTTAGAAGAGAAAAAATGTCTTTTCCTCAATGAGATCTGGCCCCTAATCTTAGTATGTGCCCAAAGATGCATTCTTCCATTGTCTTCTGTACCTGACTCTTGGCGTTCTGGTGGAAAAACAACAGAGATGCAACCTGACATCGGCTTACACTTTGTAAGTAGCAACTTGCCCTACAGTTTAAAAAACTAATACAAAATAAGAGCAATGATTTACCCAATACAAATAGAGCAGAACCGATGCTCCTCCTGGAAAGTAGCAAAGGGGCTGGGAGAGTATGCAGTATGAAAAGGTCCTGACCCGACCTTCCTGGCTGACAGCTTCTGGGAACTGTAGTCCAATATCTGATCTTTACTACCTGCGCTAGAACTTCCAGAGGCCAGAATCCAAAAGCACGCTGGAATGGAACTACAAGTAGTAAGGGGGCAACTCTCTGCCCCTGTTTTAGACCACGGTACACCTGCCCCAACCTGAATCCAGAAGGCTGGGCAACCCTCCTGATAGCATAAAGAGGGATGTAAGGCGGAGGGGAAAGGGGGAAATTTTGCACTGTATTGGGAGCCAAGCAGCAGGCTGGTGTTGGGCTTAGCCCGGAATTCCCCGCCTCACCTCTGGACAGTGTCGTCCTGCAGATCTTTGTTCCGCATCTCTGGAAGGAAGAAGCAAAGCCCCCCACCAAGCACTCCTGTGACTCCCAGCAGGGACATGGGGATGGCGGGGTGGATCTTGTCCAAAAGTCCAACCAGCGGGGAGAGGATGCCTGCTACCCGAGCAGCCGTGGAACACAACCCTAAGCCGGTTTGCCTGGTGGAAGAAGCAAAAGAAGAAGTAGTCGTCAAGCGCAGGAAGTGACCCGGGCAGAGGAAAGTCTGCAGAAGTAGAAAGAACCTCTCCAGCAGTTTCCTCCACCCACGAAACTAGGGTGAAAGCTGGAGTCGGAAGCCTTTAACCTTCCAGATGTTGCTGAACTGCAAACCTTATGGGTCTTCTGGGAGGAGATGCTCTTAGTATCCAGAGCAGCACTCCTCTCTCTTTTATCAAAGGACTATGGTGTCCCAGATACTCCAAGCAGACTCTGGTGCAGTGGTTCAACTGCAGTACCGCAGTCGAGACTCTACTCGTGACCTGATTCTGCTCGTTTCTAAGCCCAGGTACACTTCTCTTTTATCAAAGGACTATGGTGTCCCAGAGACTCCAAGCAAACTCTGGTGCAGTAGTTAAACTGCAGTAGTTAAACTGCAGACTCTACTCGTGACCTGATTCTGCTCGTTTCTAAGCCCAGGTACACTTCAATGACAAAGCAGTTCTCACCTGACAACTGTGGGGAATACTTCTGCAGAGAAGACGTAGCTTGTTGTAAAGGAAGCTCCCAATGCAGACTTGCCAATAACAGCCAGTGTTGTCACAATGACAGGGTAGTCTAGAGGGGGCCAGCAGTTTCCTCCACCCATGAAACTAGGGTGAAAGCTGGAGTCGGAAGCCTTTGACCTTCCAGATGTTGCTGAACTGCAAACCTCTTATGGGTCTTCTGGGAGGAGATGCTCTTAGTATCCAGAGCAGCACTCCTCTCTCTTTTATCAAAGGACTATGGTGTCCCAGATACTCCAAGCAGACTCTGGTGCAGTGGTTCAACTGCAGTACCGCAGTCGAGACTCTACTCGTGACCTGATTCTGCTCGTTTCTAAGCCCAGGTACACTTCAATGACAAAGCAGTTCTCACCTGACAACTGTGGGGAATACTTCTGCAGAGAAGACGTAGCTTGTTGTAAAGGAAGCTCCCAATGCAGACTTGCCAATAACAGCCAGTGTTGTCACAATGACAGGGTAGTCTAGAGGGGGAAATTAAAAATGAAGAGTGTTGGAGAGGCCACAGGAGATTAAGGCAAAGAGTTGCAGAAAGAAAACATTTGCCTTTCAGAAGGTCTAAACATTTTCTCAAATGTTCTCCATGGTCCTTTGGGAATCCAGAACCACTATCATACAGAAATATATGTAAGGTCAGGGATGGTCCGTGCTCTGCGTGTGTGAAGTCACAGTTTCAAGTATAGCAGGGCTGAGACTCCGGAGTGATTCCATCTGGAAGAGTCAATGAGCCTGGGCTAGATACACAAATGAAGTGATTCCATCACTGCTCTTCTGCATTTCCCTTCTTCTCTTCCAGCTTCCATTTCCATTAAACTGGCATTCCATCTGAATCCTAAACTATGGTTTATTTGAACTACAGTTTCTTGACACTATCCTGCTCCATAAACCATGGTTTCAAGTTGGCTTCTTTCAAGAAGCCATCATTAAGAATAAACTCAGTCTGCTTAGCCTTAGATGCATTGTAGCAAGCTGTGGCTGATCTAAGATGGAAAGTAATCCTTCCAGACACTTCCTCCTGACCCTGGAAGAAGGGAAAGAAAAAATGCATATGCCCCAAACATATCGGAGCTCTTCCCCATTGATGCTGGAGTCCACTCCAAACATATATAAATTTGTTAGTGTACACGGCCACCCTAGAGAACCCCCAGACACATATACCTCCTTTCACAAATCCCTTTTTTGTACCTTTTGGAATGGCAGGTATCAACAGACACATGACTCCCCCCAACAGCAGCCATGCAGCCTGACATTTCTTCCTTCCAATCCACTGGAGCAAAAAGATACAGGAGATACGAGATGGTAGTTCAACGGCTCCAAAGATGACCTGGGTCATGTAGATGTCCAAGCCAAAATCCCCAACATGGAGGCTCACCCCGTAGTACACAAGGCTATCTGCAAACCTGAGAGCAAATAAGAGGACATGATTTAAATTTATCTCATTTATCTAGAATAGAGCTGCACCAATAGGAAAGTATACTTAAAATTTTAAGCTGATAAAATTTATTTGTTTTGATCTTTAATGCCCCTGAGCTAGTAAAGGGCCAGCTTCCTGACAATCTTAGTTTTCATTTCAAATGGAAAAGACCAAGTTCCTAGCCCTCATGGCTGTGACAAAACCTTACAGGGCAGGTGTAAAACCTCAGACATTAAAGGCAGGAAGAAGCTGGAGGATCAACATTTTTCCCACTTAACTGCAGTCCTGCAGTCAAGACTCTGCTCACGATCTGAGTTTGACCCCAACATGCTCATATTGACTTAGCCTTCCATCCTTCTGAGGTCAGTGAACTGAGGACCTGCATGTGTAGCCTGCATAATTGAATTGTAAGCCATCCAGAGAGCGCTTTAAGTGCTGTGGGGCAGTATATAAACAGCATGTTTTGGGCTTTTTGCTTTGTTTTTACAAGGTCACTGCTTCTGCCCAAGTTGAGGAATACCAAGTGAAGGATACAACATAATAAGAAACAAGTGCAGGACAAATTGTATAAAGCAAGAGAATTTTTTGCAGTTTTTTCTCAATTCATAGTGTTTATTTAGTTCACAAAATAAATGAATGCTCATTTATTTTGGTGAAGTTTGTTTGTTTAAAATATTTTTTTACCCTGCCTATCTCCTTAAAAGACAATACATAAAAGCTAAAAACAGTAACCGCTTTCACTCTCATAAAGAAAAGTGCCTTTCTATTATTGCTTTTCTGGTGGTTTTATGTTTCTTTAATAATTTTAGGTTTTTGTTATCTATCTGTTATGTTGCTTACTGTGAACCACCCAGGATAGTCCATCACACTAAAGGAGCAATACATAAAGCTAATAAAATAAATAAAATAAGTAGTATACAAATATTTAAAAAGAACTAAACATGTATAATATTAAAACTGGTAAATAAAATCATATTGAAAGCAAAAGAGCATAACACGCCATTCAGACAGCCCGTCATTAAGGGAAAGCCTGCCTGAAGAGAAAAATCTTTGCTTTGCTTGTGGAAGGACAGCAAAAATAAGACCAGCCTGGTTTCAAAGTAGACTAAAGCAATCAAGAAATTCATAGCACAAGAGTAGCTTTCTTACCATTCCTTACTGTCCATAATTCGTAGACAGATGTCAATTATAATGAGATGAATTATTACCTATGCCTTCGTTAGAGCGAAGGGAGCAAGATGGAGACAATGTCAAGCGATTATTCTTCTGCATATTCACTCAAAAAACCATGTAGGCTTATTTGCTTAAATGCTTGCTACCGAATTATTGTTAAGTTGAGCAGCCATTCTCAACGGGGGCCATACGGCTCTCTGGGGAGCCGTGGCACATTTGAAGGGGGTCACGGACTGGAGACAATTCTTTACATACCACTTTATAAGGTTCATTACGTGGCGTACACATTCCTGATTCAGCCTATATTTCTTTCACATTGTGTTTACGGCCATGGCCAACGTTCCCTCTAATTTTCTGGAGCACTGGGTGGATTATCATCGTCATGCAGGGCACCACTGTATAGTAAGGGAAAGCTGCAGGACATGCTTTCTGTAGGAACAAAATGACTCTCAAAGAGCATGCCTTCAGTAAACTTGCATGAGATGATGCGTAGAGCAGGAGGGAACAATACAAAACTGCATGTCGGCTTCCAGCTACGACTGGAAGCAAATGGGTGTCAACACTGGCTCAATTGTGAACCTCCCAAGGCAGCCAACACGCCCACACTGCTTAGAGGAAACGCTGGCCATGGTCAAATCAAAAGGTTAAGGATGGCTCACATAGGGGACTCACCAGACCCAGGCCATGATTAAAGTCATACGCCGTAAGTGCGCCTTCCGGAAAAGATCCAGGACGTTCCCCGATTTCACCTTCTCTTCTGGAGCCAGCTTGCAAAACACAGAAGACCAAACATCGTCAGTAGATGTTCCACAGAGAGCTTGGAAAGAACAGGTTGCAAATATTAAGACGTCGCTTGTAATTAATTCTTTTATCTAGTAATGAAGATATACACAAGTTACATTATGATTGGGTGAGGGGTAACTTAATTCCTTTGGAAGTGTACCTGCTGAGTTTTGTAGCTTTTATTGTGCATGCCCCGTAGATTTTAGGTTGCTCCTACTTCAAGGTGAGGCCTTGGTTACTTTTTAAAAAAGTTTTCAGAAATAGTAGTATGTTTAATTTCTGAGGTAGTCTTCCATTTTGATTTTTAAGGTACAGCATTTCTTAATTGTCTTTGTGAGCTATTCTAAAATCATTCCCTGAAAAGGGAATGTTCATTGTCTCTGAACATTGTGAGCTATTCTAAAATCATTCCCTGAAAAGGGAATGTTCACTGTCTCTGAACATATATGGCAGCTTTCTGTTGGGAATCCTTTATAAGCAAGAGCCAGGTAAGTACCATATTTTTCCATGTATAAGACGATACTTTTTCCTAAAATCATTACACTAAAAATTGAGGTGCGTCTTATACACAGAAGTCAGCTGAGGAGTGGAAAAACTACCCATACCTTTCCTCTGCAAACAGGTTTCCTTCAATCACCAGGCTTAGCTGCCTCCAGTCAGGAGGCTCAGCTTCCTCCAGTCACGAGCCTTATGGAACTGACGTCAGCTGATGTTGAACAAACCAATTGGAACACACCTCGTTGGAGGTGGAGCCTGTAGGCTCAGATGCAACAGGGACTCGTAATGTCTGAGCATTCTGAGCCCTGAGGCTGAATACTCAATGGGTGTGTCTTATACATGGAAAAATACGGCATGTCAGGCTAAAACTGGAGAGACCCTAGTTCCACTTTGCAATGAACTCAGTGGACAATTGTAGGCCAACCCGAGACAAATGTGCTGTCACTAGAATCAGAATCAATTTCACGGGGTTGCTGTCAGGATAAAACATGGGAGGTATAAATAAAGCAATGTGTGCGCTAAAATTGGAGCGACCCTAATTCCACTTTGCAGTGGAACTCACTGGACAATTGTAGGCCAACCCAAGACAAATGTGCTGTCGGTAGAATCAGAATCAACTTCACGGGGTTGCTGTCAGGATAAAACACAGGAGGTATAAAGCAATGTGTGTTGCTTATGTACCACTCCATAGGGCTAAAAGTTCTCTCTGGGCAGTTTACAGTTTAATTATCCAGACTAGACATTTTGCCCTCCGCCAACAAGCTGGGTGCTCAATTTTTCCACCTCAGAAGGATGGAAGACTGAGTTCACATCGGGCCAGCTACCTGAGCTGTTCCAACATGAGTCATGAGCAGAGTCTTGACTGCAGAACTGCAGTTTAACTACTGTGCCAAGATTTTTTCCAAGGCATGGAAAAAATTACTTTTCTGGATTGCAACTTCAGAAATCTCCCAACTAGCATGGGGAAATCTGGGAACTGTCCAAAAGTAACTTTGCCTACTGGTAGAGCAGGAATGCCACTGTGCAAAGACTATTTTGCTCCTTTGCTTTCTTTCCACCCTTTCTTCAGCCTCTTTGGCTTTCAGGTTCATCCTGGAATCCTAGCAATAGAAATATCGTCCCTCAGTCACCTGATCAAGCAGTTCTTCCGGGACGGTTCGTTTGTTGATGGCAGCCGCCTTTAGAAGCTCCTTCTTGGCTTCCTTGATCTTCCCTTTCGTTACGAGCCATCGAGCAGAGCTAGGAAGGACCCTATGAAGTATCAACATTTATTAAATACAGAAGATTAATTCGCCAGGGAAGGAGTAGAGAGGGAGAAGGCCTTGTCCACACATCCTATTTGCTCATTGATCGGACCAATGACAGAGAAAGTGGCCATATTTCCTTTCCCAGCTGCAAATACATGAAAGAAACCGATTTCATCCCAAACCTGATTTGATTTTGCAGTGTTTCTATGTTACTCTGTTCTTAGCTTGTATACACACCACAATTATGATATTTATTATTTCAACTTGCATAGCACTCCACAGCGCAAACACTCTCTGGGCATTTTAGAAGAGGCAGCCATGTTAGTCTGTGCTAAAATATCCGGCATAAAACAAAATAAAAACAAAAAATAAAGAAGACAAAAATGTTGTGGCACCTGAGAGATGAACTGCTATATTTTAATGTGAGCTTTCGTGGGCAAGTCCACTTTTTCAGGTTATACATTTACGTAGGACGTATTACATTATATGTTACCTTGGAAATTATAGTTTGTGGTTTTAAGGAGTATACTGTATTATTTCAGGTTGTCTTATGTAATAACAGTTTTATACAGCATCCCATTTTAAAATATGTTTCTTCTGTGTTTTTCTTTACGGATCTATGGCCGTACAATAAAATCTGACGTATATAAAAAAGTAACTCTTCCAAAGTCTGGTCCAGTGCATCAGCTGTTACACGCCCCTGGGGGCCTTGTGGACACTCACTCACCATATGTAGAAAAAGAGAGCAAACGCAGGAGCCGAGCCAGCGATCTGATAGAGCCTCCAGTCGCGAACGGAGTACGCCAAACCACCTAGCGCCATCTGCCCCAGGGCGTTGCTGCAGTGTTCCACGATCTGCGCCAGGGGGCGATAGGGAGCCCCGACCCACTCTGAAGCTGGAACGGAACACAGTGGGGTCTCTGAGTCACCCAAGGTCTGGTGTTGATGTCAATTAATGAGCTGTTCGTTTTTTTAAAAAAACTTGATAATCAGTTCATTCCTTGCCTAGATTTAAATTAATCTGCTCTTTGTAAAACCTCCACAAAGCTGTCCCTTGCCAGCAAACTCTATTTACAGAATGGTTTTACCAGTTCCACATGCACAGTGAGTCAGTCCCTAAGGCCAAGTGGGGATTTGAACCTGGTTTGACAGTGGTCTCTAGCCTTGGGCAAGCCAGATGTTCTTGGAACACAGCTTCCAGAAGCCTATACCACTAGCTGGGCTAGCCAGATTTCCTGGGAGTTGCAGTCCAAGAACGCCTGAATTACCCAGGGCCCGAATGTGACACTCTATCCACTACACCGCACTGGGAATTCCATCTATCTTAGATGGATCAATCAATAGATCGATAGATAGATAGAGGAGAGGGAGAGGGAGAGGGAAGGAAAGAGGAAGCAATAGACAGACAGACAGACAGACAGATAGATAGATAGATAGATAGATAGATAGATAGATAGATAGATAGATAGATAGATAGATAGATAGATAGATAGATAGATAGATAGATAGATAGATAGATAGATAGATAGATAGATAGATAGATAGATAGATAGATAGATAGATAGATAGATAGATAGATTTGAATTTTCCAAAATTATCAAGTTTCTTTATAATCAGGATGGAAAGAATTTGAGAGTAAAATATAAAATATGGGAGAAACTGACCATTTCATCCTTTCAAAACCAGGGTTTTTAATGCTTTACTCTTTAAAATCTGTGTTTGGAAGCCTGTGTCATTCAGGTCAGTGCTAAGTTAAGACTGCCAACCCTTAACCACCAACCCCGCGCGCGCTTTTTTTAAAAATGCAGAAGTTCATTGTCTAATCAATGGCAAGCGGGTGGTACAACATGGTTCTCTCTCCGTTTCGGAAACAGAGGTACCTACCTAGCAGGGAGGTCAGATTGAAAGCGTGTGATTGGCCCAAATCACCTGAGTCATTTCATGGCAAGCAAGGACGTGAACCCTAATCTTGGCAATTTAGAACCTCATTCTTGGTAACTTTGCTACCAAGACCCACTCCAGTTGGAATCCTATTGCTTAGCACAGTAAGTTGCAGTAGAGGAAGCCCATTGAATGAGTGGGGATTTGGCAAGTCAGCTCCTCCGCGTGTTCAACTGGTTCAGATGGGCCTACTCTAAGCAACAGGGTTATGGCCCCTGTGACACAGGAACCCCAAGGGTACTGCTCTCTTCCACCTTGGCTTTGCTTGGCATCTAAAGGACCTCCCTTTGAGGGACACGCTCCACCTTTCTTCACGATGTAGCCCCTTCTGCCCTACAAAGTCATGCTTCTTCACTTTTCCACCCTCTTACTACAGAAAAAGAAATCTCAATGAGGAAGGAGTGGCTAAAGCAAAAAAAAAACAAAAACCCAAAAGCAGAACACCAGACCGAATAAAGTGTCTCCAGTCAGAAAAGGTCCAAACCTGGGTGTCTTACTTAAAGCTGCCATGCTGATACTGATCCCAGCAAAAGCCGCGCCCACGACGAATCTCAGGGCGATGTAGGCGTAGAAATTGGGCACGAACCCTGCCCCGACCCCAAAGGCGCCCATGAGGAGGAGGGTGAGCAAAATACACCACCGACTCCCAATCCTGTGGGAGAGAAACACACAACCCACCCATGGGTCAGTCGGTAAAAAGGAGGCGAATCCTTCCAAAGCGTTCATTCTCAGAAAGGTCGGGGGAACATATGTTGTGCTTCATGGCAGGTGAGTGGCCCCTTACTTACTCAAGGATGAAAGCAGTAAGTTTGAAAGGAAAACCCTCTGGTATAATCTTAACCTTTTCCCTAACAATTGCTTCCATACACACAAAGGGTGTGGAAATAGTACTCGTGCAAATGGCAGGGCTTTTGTGCCAATCTGAAAGGCATCAAGCCGCCTAGAGTGGTCACAATTGACTAGATAGGCGGGGTATAAATGAAATAAATAAAATAATAAATAAAATAATAAATCATGGGTTATGGGGAAAATATTTTTTTTATTATGATAGGTGGCGCAGAGGTTAAACGGCAGTGCTGCAGCCAAAACTCTGTTCACAACCTGGGTTCAATCCCAGGTAGCTGGCTCGAGGTTCACTCAACCTTCCATCCTTTTGAGGAGAGTAAATTGAATGCTAGCTTGCAGAGGGGGGAGTGATGTGTAGCCTACATAATTCAATTTAAGCACCATGGGGTGGTACGTAAGCATCACATTTTTTAGCTTTATTAGGACAGACCGGTAAATATAGGATGATAGAGTCAGGAGGGATCCCAAAGTTTGCCCGGTTCAGCCTATTGCCAACGCCAGAAATCTAGCGCTAAAGCACAAGCAACGTAGGGGTATCCAATATCTGTTTTAGTACCTTTAGTAAAGTAAGTGAGATTGTCTGAATCAGGAACTGGTATGTATACTTATGCTCAGTAGCATTTTTGGGGGAAGTTGGGGAAAATGTGTTTGGTTTATATTTTAATATTTGCATATTCCCAATGCCGTATACAAACTGAAATACAATTGCACCTCAAACTGTAACATTTTTCTGCACACTGCAGCGTGACTGTCCAACCCACTGAAGGGCATCAAAATATGTACAGTGGTACCTCATTAGACGACAACCTCACAAAACGACAAATTCGCATAATGATGAGCTTTTGCGATTGCTATAGCAATTCGCAAAACAGTCGTTCCAATGGGTGATTTCCGCTGAATGATGATTTGATCCATGCTTCACGGACTGTTTTTTCGCAAGATGACAATTTTTACAGCTGATCGGCAGCTTCGCAAAATGGCTTCCCTATGTTTTCAGAACCCATTTTAACAGCTGATCAGTGCTCGCAAAATGGCTTCCCTATGGGCGATCTTCGCAGGACGACAATGTATTTTCCCCACTGGAACGCATTAAATGGGTTTCAATGCATTCCAATGGGAAACAGTTTTCACATGATGATGATTTCGCTAAACAGCTATTTCTATGGAACGGATTATCATCGTCATGCAGGGCACCACTGTATAGTAAGGGAAAGTTGCAGGACATGCTTTCTGTAGGAACAAAATGACTCTCAAAGAGCATGCCTTCGGTAAACTTGCATGAGATGATGCGTAGAGCAGGGGGGAACAGTACAAAACACATGCCGATTTCCTTGGCGACTCAGAAACGGACACCGAAATGGACAAACGTAAGAGTTAGAAAATGAGACACTGAGCAGCAATGAAATGCATGGTTTACTTGTTTCGGTGCCTCAAGGCACACAAGAACCTCGCCTCGTTCTTGGCTCACCTACAATGAGATCTCATTTAAGAGACGTCAAGCCACCTAATAACATGACAGGTGTTGTGACACTTGAATGTTTTGCTGCTGGAAAAAAATAGCAACCACTTGCAGAGGCAGGAGGATGCCAAGGGGTGTCTTCAGCAGGCATTTAACTGCCCTGCCTGACTCCAGCAGGCAGACATTATACAGTGGTGCCTCGCTAGACAATGATAATCCGTTCCAATGAAATCGCTGTTTAGCGAAAGCATTGTCTAGCGAAAAGCATTTTCCCCATTGGAATGCATTGAAACCTGTTTAATGCATTCCAATGGGGAAGAATCGTTGTCTAGCGAAGATCGGCCATAGGAAAGCCACTTTGCGAAAATACCTGTTTTGCGAGCATGGAGGGAGCTGTGAAAATCATCATCTAGCTAAAATCGATTTGCGACACAGGGACCAAACATTGTCCAGCGAAATTCCCCCATAGGAATCACTGTTTTGCGAATCGCTATAGCGATCGCAAAAAGTCAATGTCTAGCAAAAAAACTGTCATGCAGGGTAACTGCCTAGTGAGGCACCACTGTACCTTGTCCTCCCACAGCAACACCATTGACAGCTATTGTATTCTGTCCCTTGAAACATAAGACGAGCTTCTGAGACCCTCCACCCCACCCCATGAATACACTCAGCTTTTCTAGGCTGTGCAAATAAATCATGATTCAAACACGAAAATGAGTTTTTGCTGGCACAGCCTCTGAAAATAATGTGCCAAGCTGCCCAAATTAATCTTGTGCTTCCAAAATTCAACCAAAGCCCAGTTCGCATCCAGTAATTAGGAGCATCGCTGTCTTCGTCTTGTGCCGTCCTTGTTCCCAGCAATGCGTGCATGTTTTCAGTTTTCAGACACACCCACATAGTGGCTGTCCACATGCTCATAACTGGGTATTTCGAGGTGCAACTGGGAGAACAGGAAAGAGGAAACATTTTAGGGGAAGTTAACTATTTTGCATAGTTGATTCCTTTGGTGCCAAGAGTGAGACAAGCCATCAGAATGTCTGTCCCGTCATCGCTGGAAAACACATCCAGTCTTTCTGCTTGTTCTTTCTCCAAGCATTGCTCAATGTGCTTTCAAATGTATTGATCTATATAGCCTTAAGG